ATGTGTTGCTAATACAATTAGTTTCTGAGACATATTTCTATGACAGGCACTGTGATAATTGCTAAATCCTGAAATGATGAAGATACATCTCAATTTCTGTGAACTTCTATGTAGATGAGAAATATAAAGAAATATTTATTTAGTGTGATACTTAATAATAGATAGCTGTACTCTGAGTGATTTCAGCAGCTCTGTTACCCTTAAAAACAGAAACACAATTTATTGAGCTAGTTAGACCTGTATGGTTGGGAATGTTCTCAAAGGTAATGAGGTGAATGTTTCATGATTGATAATTATGGAACTATGGTCTTATTTTATGAAAATATGCTGTATCCAACTTGATAGCACAAATGATTCTCCAAATTTAGACTTTTTTCATAATAAGGGTAGTCTATACTAATCTGTGAGCAAATTGTCCTGCTCTTAATAATGTAACTTCTATCTACAATTTCTATTTTTTGAAGACTTTCTGAAAGATTTTTTAAAAGTATCTTTAAAATTTTGAAAACATTAATAATGAAAAATTGTCATTAATGCTGCTGCTATCTCATAACTGCAATTTTGATACTATCATGAATTGTAATATAAATATCTATGTTTTCCAATGGTCTTAGGTGATCCAAAGGTTGAGAACCATTGTTCTGGACTCTATGAGTGTACTAATACCTAGAGAGCTAGACCAGAATAAAATGTTTTGAATCACCAAGTTCACTGGTACTAGACAGTGAGGTAAAATCTTTCTGTGAAAGATTCTACAAGACTTGCTAGTCTCAACCCAACAATGCAGCACCACAATGAAGAGAAGTTCTCCATGGCAACTTTATGAAGAGAAATGCAACCTGGCCACTGATGCAGAAGTCAAGGTGTTGAGCCCTTAAATAAGAGAAAATGAGGATGAATTTTGCAGCAGCAAGAGACATGGTACTGTTCCAAGTACTTGAATGACTGGCATGCAGAGAACAACTTGAGAGCAAGTATGGAAGTTCACATTATTGCTGGCAGTTACTTTCAGTGTTAGCAGAACTATCAAGGGTAATCATTTTGAATCAGTACAGTAATTCTTTGTTTCTGAAACCACTGAACTATAAACTCTAAGACAAAAATCATGTGTCCAAAATGTGTAAGGTAGAAAGATTTTCTACATCATATTTCATTCCAAGATTATTTTCACTTTGAATGTGCATCTCTAACTTAAGAGAGTTAATGTTTATTATCACCCTGATTAAATTCCCTATTTTGGTACAAATTTGAGTAGGCATTAGGTCATCAAATGTAATCTATAAACACACTTTAAAATTTAAAATATAAAGATAGGCGATCACCGCCTTTGTTTATATACATGCCATGTCAGGGAAATAAAAATTCATAGTTTTTTTTTTTATTTGGTTTTTGTTTTTACTCAGTTAAGAGCTTTTCCTGAGTGGTAGAAGGAAGAAAGAGAAAGAAGGAGTGAGAGAAGAATGGAAGAAAACTTCCCTTTAATAAAATCAAGTCCTAATTTTTAAAAAGTCTCAAGTATGTAAAACAATTAAAAATCAGAAGGTAAAGTGCTTTAGTAATAGTCTCATCCCAAGGAGATCACAAAGTACACTTATTGTTTCTTATAATGAATATAAATATGCTTTCCTGTAAAGTCTAGCCCTTACTTTGAAGGGTTACCTTCTGGGATTGGTCTCTTGGAGACATTTCTTAAACTTATATTTTAATTTCAAATCCAGAATTGAAAAGCTCCCAGCACAATGGATTCAATCAATCTGAGAACAATGATCCCAAAGTAACACTCTATATTCCAGTATATATGTAATCAGTACAATATTTATTGCTTCCGAATATCGAGATATTAAACAGATATATCCCTCTCTCTTAGACTTTGGTTGTCAAATGCATACTTGAGCCAAACACAATAAACACATATTCGATTTTTCTTAGTATATGAAAAAATGGAATATTGTTGCAATCTGTGGTTGGCCTCAAATAAACCAGTTTTCATGAGTAGTCTATACCAATGCAGAGTTAAGTATTATGGGATTTTAGTTAATTTTGATTACACAACTACTCTTCCTTAAGACACTACCTGAACAAAGCTATACCACCATTTTACCTCAGGCTTGACGATCACTACAGGAATGTCCATTAATTTTGAATTTATTTCATATGTTTGAATTTACTTTTCTATATTTAATAATGCAATATACATACTTTCAAATTTAGGAGATATTCAAATACTTCTATATGCATACTCTAATGAGGTAAAACAAAAGATAATGAATAGAGAAATGTCAAACAATTTTTCCCCCACAGGAATGACAGTGGTCTCAGTAGTGAGCTTCATTATTTTGTCTGCCACACTGTAGTACTTCATAAAGGCCATAATGAAAGGAAAGCTGAGTTTAAAAAGAAAGAAAAAAAACTGAGAGAAGTCATAAAAGGATGCTATAATTTGAGAATAGACCTCAGAGATTTGCATGTTGGAAAACAAGAATGCCAAGAGTCATAGTGATAAATTCTTTTCTTAGGTAGCAAGGCCATAGTGCCTGGCAAGACCACAGGATGTACCAATTTAGTCATGTGACAGAGGATGTAACTGGTTTAGTCACGGATCCAGTTTGGTAGGGTCCTAGAGATGCTGATCATAGGACCATTTTCCCCATCAGTGCAGTTAGATGAAATGGAATCATGACATTAGTGGAGGCAAGCCTATGCCTGTGGTAAAGAAATGGGTTTTACCAGCCTGGGAGCACATAGGGAGGGACCCATGGCTCCAGCTGTATATGTAGGGGTTGGGGGCCATGTCAGGCAGTTGGGTCTTGATAACAAGGATGTGCCCAGAGACACTATGATAAGCCAATGGTCAATGAGAATAGTAGAAATGAAGAGGATTTGATAATGTAACACTTTTGCTTTAGTTTTTCCTTTTTGGAAGAAATGAATAATTCCTAGATTCACTAATACTATTGTTTAAGTTCACTTCACTAAGAAATACTTAACAGCCCCATATAGGTGACTTATTCTTACTGGCTTTAAGAATGCCAGAGAAAAATCTACTGAGCTTTCTTAAGTACACATAAAACAAAGGGCAGAGCCACCTGATTGTGTGCTTAAAAAGAATATACTCTGTGACTGACATCTGAGAGTCTGATTTTGAAGGTGCATGAAAATATACTTTGATTTGGAAAATACATGTGGTAAAGTAAAAGAAATTTCATTTAGGTAAATTTTAATCATACAGTTACTACAAATTAAGATTTACAATGTAGCATAGGAAACCACACTAATTCTGAGTTGTGCACACTATATGATTTTTGAGATGTAAATCAGAGGTCTTAAAACCTAAAATGCCAATATCTTTTAGAGCAATTAACTAAGCATGCCTCTTACAAAGCAGACCAACTTTTCTCAGGAACAAGGATGCTCATGCTCTCGTTAAGGCTGACATAAACATACGTTTTGAAATTATCTGTATCAAAAGTCCTACCATTTCTTTGAGAGAGTAATTCACTTGGAATATTTTACTGAAGTTGTAAAACAACATGGTGCTTTAAATAAAACTAGTGCACATACCAGGTAAGGTATAATTGAACCTCACTGCAGCTCCTGGTTAAACACACAAAGGATTAGTGAACTTTTAGGTTTTTTGTTACATTGTTCACAACACTCAGGAATCAGCCTACATGACCATCAGTGAGTGAATGGTTATAGAAAATGTTGGGTATATGCACAGTGAAATTATACTTAGCTGTCAAGAATGAAATCAAAGCATCTGTAGGAAAATGAGTGGAACTAGAGGTCAATATGGTAAATGAAATAAGCCAGATCCAGAAAGACAAATATATGTTTTCTCTCATACTAAATCTAGATGTTTCTATATCTGTGCAACGTATTAAACATTTTATATATGCATATATATATATACACACACACACATAAATACACACACATATCATGTTTTGTGTGTGTGTGTGTGCGTGAGGGAGAGAGAGAGAGAGAGAGAGAGAGAGAGAGAGAGAGAGAGAGAGAGAGAGGACTCTGAACAAAGACATTATAAGAGAGAAGAGAACACTACAGAATGCATGTGAACTGGGAACAAAAGGAGGAAGAAATCTATCTGGCAGGAAGAAAGCAGCTAGAGTAGGACTTGCAGAATGCATGGGGGCAGTGGGAGAGAGATATGGAATAGGAACTAAAGTATAATGACAAACATGTATAAAAAGGCCACAACAAAACCCACTACTTTGTATGCTGACTTAATAATGACCACGTTTTCTAGAGGTAAAAATTTCTATATCCTCTATGTTGGGGAACAGGCACTAATGTTGTAAAAAAAGCATTTTAAAAGTATCATTTCAGATTGTAAGGACATTACTCAGTGAGTTATATGTTAATACAACACTCAGGCTTGGTGTAATCTAGAATGATTAGTCTAAGGTGACAGTGAAAACAAATAGAACCATAAACAAACAAAAAAAATTAACTGCAATGTCTTAGTAATGTAATGTGCTCCAATATATTCTTAATAACAAAGATATATTGCATGTACATAGTATTATATACAACAATAGTAAAGCCAAACTGTTCTTAGTATATTGACCAGATGGATGAAAACGTGCATTGTGGAAAATTTCTGGCCACACAAAGGTGAAATGAAATCATTTAACCAGCAAGCAGAAAACAGTAGGGATTCAACAATTCTTACACCTACAGTGTTCTATGTGAATTTCTCATCTATTTCTAATTTATCTTCATGTCACACAATGTGCAGTACATAAGCCATTTTCACTTCAAGAAATTTTTCCCTTCTACACAGTACACATCTGGGAACACTGACTTTTTTCTATCCTTTAACTTAAATGGGCATAAATCTGTAATTTTTACTTACATAAGAAAATACTATGTATTCTGGATTATTCAAAATGAATTTATATTCAATAAAGCTTTGGAAAATATTTCATACTTTAAACTTCTGGAAACTGTCTATTTATTGACAGCATACATCTATAATCGTTCTTTAATAAAAGGAACATTTTATTGTGCTAGGATATACATATTTTTAACCAATTCTACTTGGCATAATTTTAGAGCACTCATGCAAATATCACTTTTAGAAATGATTAGAATACCATGGGTCCCTGTATTTGTTGAATTGAATGACCTGACAGTAAAATTCAGTTAAAGCTCTTGGCATTGGTGACACCTCTTCCCACTCTGACCTACTACTGTGGTAGACCTGCACCTCATCTGTGATCTCATCTGGGGCATAATCTCCACCTAATATGTAAATCTTATCCTCAATTCCAATTGCACCTGCATTAAAGCCTGCACACTCAAAAGAGCCTTCTCCTTTCCAAACACAAGTATCAGGACAAAAACTATAAACCTTATAGGTGGAAAGATCACATATATAAAGGGTACAGTTTACTGGGACAGCTTTAATTAAAGTAGCATGAAAAAATTGTCCGAACTCTGCTACTAGTTCAGACCACTGATCAGTGGTAGCATTGTATTTAAAGAAGCAATCAAGTGATGGGTTGAAAGCATCAGCAATCTCTACCTCAGATCCAAGGACATAAATGACATTCTGGCATGCACTGGCTTCTGGGTAATAGATGCCTCTGGGTAAAGGGCTAACTGATGTCCACTCTTTGGACAGTGGATCATAAGATTCAACATCTAAGAGACTCTTAATGTCCTGGGATCCTCTAGTCTTTCCGCCTATAACAAATAACCGATTAAGAGCCATGACTGATGTATGCATGGTTCTTGGAGTTTTCATAGTTGAAACCAAGAAAAACTCATTTTTAATTGGACAGTAGCACCACGTCTGGTCAGTGGCATTATGGTAAGACTCAGCAATATGAAGTCGGATCTTTCTACAGCACTTCCCTTTGCAACCACCTGTCAAGAATATTTTTTCTCCATAGCTAGACAGACTAGATCCTGGCAAATCAATCAGATGTGACTGTGGCAATATTTTCCAGGAGTCAGTTTTAATATTATAGCAAAACGTATATTGATTTTGTCCATTTTCCTCAGTTTTATGGATGAATATATATTTTTCAGTTGTGGATGGTCGAGCATCAGGAAAGAGGCCACTAGAACCTTGCACACACTTAATAGCATTCACGATTGTGTCAAAACAGTTTGTGCTTTTGAGTAAATTCTCTTCATTGAGCAAACAGTCTTGTAGTGTGTCCTCAGATAACTGATGTAATCTTACTTTTGTAATCAAGTGAGGCAGGTGCTTTTGCCTGGACTCTAAATTGTATTTAATCCATGTGAGGACAGCCTCCAGGACCATTTCTTCTTCAGGTACATTCAACTCATCTGATTCCAGACACTTCTGCAGCACTCCAAAATTCATCTCTAAAAAGTCTCTGGATTTTAACAACAAATGAAAATGATGTTGCACAAAATATAAAGCGTGACTGAACAACTGGGTAGAGCCGTAGCTGTCTGACAGAGATAACAAATGCAAACAATTGACCAGACTGATGCTTTTTATTAAAAAGTCACTGCAAGCTTTGGACAGGAAGGAAACCTGAAGAAAGGATGACAACTGGAAGAACATTTCCACGTTATCATCTGTTATTCTTGTTTTTCCGGTATAGGCATAGTCAAGAAATGCCTTTACAGCTTTGGAGGACAAGTTAGTAATGGTAACACTTCCGTCATCTCTTTCTTTCATGTTTACTTCGAACATAGCCCTGAAAAAAGATTAAGAAAAAAAGATGCACAAGTAAATAGAAGTATTTTAACTATAACAATTTCCAATATCACTATACACATGCTTCTTTACCATTTACTTAATTTAGAATACATTTATAAGATTTAATGGAATTTTAATGAATTATTTTAACATTTAAAATAACTAAAAGGTATAATACTTATCTGTTGACATAACAAAATATAACAAAACAAAAACATATACAGTGGAGCTGATATACAGAAAGAAATAACGAAAGGTTGTAAAGTGGTTCAAATTTTATATATTGGCTAATTCTTACCTATAACTCAGTTTTTTTCAATGGCAAATTAATTATATCTGTGATAATAACTAAAATTTCTCAACATAAACTGCTCAATGCTTAAAACATTTACATGAAACACAGATAACGAGAGACCCACTGCTGCCAATGATTTTATATTGCTCTGTGGGGAAATCTGCCAAATCAGACTCATAGAAAAAGGGGACCAGTGAAGTAATATCCAAAACCTAAACCACACAAAGCCAAAAGGCCAAACCTACATTTTTGAGGTAACAACCACAGAAAGACAGAAATTGTTCCCTAAATTTGAGTAATTATGCCAGCTTGGGAATGAAAAGGCAAATCTAAGGGATTGGGACAATCTTGAACTCAGGTGAGACAAAAATACAGGTTGTTTGGAGGTATCTACTCATGGAATAAATGTATTTTATTGTTTATCCTAGTTTCATAACTATGCTGATAATATAAAAAATGCTGTGGTGATTTGACTAAGAATGACTCCCACTGGGTAACATTTGAATACATGGTCACCAGTTGGCATAACAATCTGGGAAGGATTAGAAGGGTTAGCCTTGTGGGAGACCTATGTCAATGGGGGAGATATGAGTTTTCAAAACAGTGGTGCCATTATGAGTGTGTTCTCCCGTTACTGCTACTATTCCTTTTCTCTCCCGTCACTGACTCTAACCTTCTTAAACTGTAAGTCCAATTAGGCACTTTCTTTTATAAGTTGTTGTGGTCCCATTGTCTTACCACAGCTTAGAAAACTAAGAAAAATACTTTGGGTGCTTCACCGATGAGTATCCAAATACTTGTACTTGGTGATATATTGAGGCTAACTTTTTGCTTAGAGTCTGTCCCAGAGAATAAATTAATCAATTAGTGAGGACAAGATCTACTTGAAGAATATGAGAGGTCTTTCAAATAAAAAAGGAAAACAATGATAAAGAGGCCTTTTCCAGGGTTACTCAATATACTTCTTAATACAAACCCAAATGTAGTGACAAAGTTCTAATTATGCTATATCTTAATATAAAGTTCTTTAACAATGTATGCCAGTTTAGAAATTATACCTTGTAATTATATATATGATGCAATCTTGCAAAATAAATGGATTAAACAAGTTGTTTAGAAGAATTAATAACTTAATCATTGCGGAGTATTAACTGCCATTATTTTAAGAAATCAAATGTTTCCTAATAGTACCCCTCTCCCCACATTTCTGTCTGTCTGTCTATGTATATGTCTACCAACCTATTAAGATTTTATTTGTGTGTATGGGTGCTTTTGTCTGCATATCTGTATGTGTACAAATATGTGTCTAATGCCTGTGAAGGACAAAAGTGGGAATTAGATTCCCAGGAACTGGAATTATAGGTGGTTATAATTGTCCTATGGATGCTGGGAATTGAATCCAGGTCTTCTGGAAGAGTAGTTAGTGCTCTTAACCACTGAAAAACTTCTTCAGTCCCTGGATTATGTGTATTTTTAATTTGATATCAGCTTCTACACCCTTGCAGAAGACACATGTAAGATCAAATTCCTATACTTTACAGTACTCTCCTACTTATTTCTCAGATATGGCATGTTATTATAAGTGGTTTCTATAAGACAAGTTCCTTGATTTTATATCTTAATAATAATTTTTGCTATGTAGTGCAAACTTTTTTGATACTTTTACTTTACATTTTCTCAATGTAGTTAGTTTTATCAAACTGTAGATACTATAAACTGATGGTTTATTTTAAGAGGTAAGTGATTAAATTTCTAGCCACAGGGCTGGAGTGATGGCTCAGTGGTTAAGAACACTGGCTACTCTTCCAGAGGTCCTGAGTTCAATTTCCAGCAGCCATATATAGTTCACAACCATCTTTAATGAGATCTGCTCTCCTTTTCCGAAGGGATGAAGACAGAGTGCTCATATACACAAAACAATTCTTTAAAAAAATTTCTAGCCATGTTTGTACATACTTTCATATGAACTATGTATTCATTTAAATTTAATAAAGACTGGTCATTTCTTCTATTTAAAACAGTTAAAATTAAAAATGAAAACGATTATCCTATTCTAATAGTAATTTTAAGAATGAAATGAGACACAAAGTGAGGAAAGGGTATGAGCTTCCATTTTGTTGTGTATTATTTACTAGTACTCTTAAATTTATTTATCTGTATAATTGACAACTGCCCATCTGCACACATTATACACATGTAAGAAAACTGTCAAAGGATTAACTTATAGAGCTATTTAACTAAAAAGTAAGTTTGATATGAGCAGAGGATTACAAATTCAAATGTTTACAAGAACTTTTTGTTGTATTAGCTTGAAAACACTGCAGGAAAATCATGCCGAGTACGCAGAACAGGATCTTACTGTGTTTTCCTATGTTATAAAACAAGAACTTTATTGACTAACATTAATTGAATGTAAAATAAAATATGCTAACCATTTATATATTATTTCCTTTATAACCTCCAGAATGACCTTATGTATTAACTCCTATTTTTTACTTTTCTAATTTCCTTATCATTAGTGAGGAGACCTAGATCTGAAGAGGGTAAGTGATTTGCCTAAGGTCACATGAATAGTAAGCAGGAGACCTGAGATTTAGATTAGGGCATATATAATAAAAAAACCCTAAGCGTTTGAGGACTGTGAATAAGAGGCCACATTTATAAGAACAAGAGGCACCCTAAAAGTTACATGGAAGGAAAGCTGTGCTCAAAAGAAGTGAAGACAACGAACGGGGCCTAGGAGCAACAGAGTCTAAGATTAGGGGCCCCAATAGAGCTCAAAGGATGCCTCAGAGTATATGAAGAAACAAAAAGAGAGGAGTTACACTAAGAAAACAGCTAGTTCAATACTGCTGGAGCTTCCCTGGCCCAGGACATTGTGAATCACTAAGCTCCAAATTCAAAGCAAAACCCCAAAGAGGCAGGTGTTCAGCAAGCAGCAATAGCAAGAACTGCTTGCTAAATAAAATCTAGCTTATAGGATTTACTCTAATGGTAATACAGCAGGTTTTAAATTACACATTTATATAAAGCAGGTTTTGAATTAATGATTCAAAATAGAACAGCACAAGGCCCTGAGTCAGTCTGCAACTTAAATAAATCATAAATGGAATATAACTACCACTTTGCTTCATATACTAAATCTTACTGTTTTTACCAATTCGTTGGGAGATTAAAACCCTACTTAATTTTTCTTCCAAAACTGGACCTAATGCAAAGTATCAAGTGAGGACTTGAGTTTACTGCAGTATGACGAGGATGACTGACTGCAAAGTGTCAGCAAAGGATACCTGTTTCTTTATTGGCCAGGAGACAATCGCCACAGTATTGTAATAATACACCTGACCTTATCGCAACAGAAGCCTACTACTATCATCACAGCAATCTTCCTTTCTCAGCCTCTCAATGCTGACATTACATGCATAGAAGGAAGAAAAAAAAGAAAAGTTTTCTGGGCTGCAGTTCTTCCCCTGGGAAATGGCACAGACATGACTAAATTGTTTTCTTCTTGGTCGTATTTTTTAAACTCAGCTTCTAATTTTTTTTTCAACTTGTCATTTCATCTTTTGCTAACAAGGCATCATTCAGGGTTTCCTCAAAGTTAACCCCATATGAATCCCACCCAAAATAGCTCAAGGCACTAATTTTAAAGATCTTTGGGAAACTGTCCTGGGAGGACTCTTGTTTTTATAGCTGTAGTTTTAAGATTCCCTACTCAAAAGCTCTTAATAATCTAGTTCCAATTAATTCTTTTTTTATTAATAATTACACATTATTTAAGCATGCTCAGGGGCAGTGAATATGGTTGTAAAATATAACGCAGTTTCTCATACAAAATCTAAGGCACAGACGGAAGTTAACAGTACCTGAAAAAGTCACTGCATGCTGCCAACACACAACGATGACATGGGATTATTTCTTCTTTCATGATTATTTTGAAGTCATAAAAGACATTCTGTTCTCTAAAACTCTGTAGTACACTTAAGATTTTCTGTCCATGATCTTCTGATGCAAGAAAATTCTTTTTCTTCTCAGATGAGATTCCATTCCATGAGTTTTGTTCATTTAAATTGTATGAATTATCCATAGCCATTTCCACCTGTTCTTAGAACTAGAATAAAAAAGTGTGATAGGAAGCTAATGAAATTTTCAGATTTAATTTGACCTCTTCAGGCTGGCAACATAGCTTATCAGGTACAAGCTTTTGCCATGCAAGCTTGTGACCTAAGTTAGACTCACAGACCATATGAAGTGGAAGAAGAGAATCAACTCCATAAAACTATCTTTCAACATTCCATGTTTGTCATAATCCCCAAAATGAGTATTTTAAAAATGTACTCATGGTGTGAAATTATAACAATATTCAACAACAGCAATATGATAGTAAACCTTACTTTAAACATTTATTTTTGATATCCAATACTAAATCCTTTTTTGAATTTTCATAAATGTATATTTGAATTGAGAAGTATGTAATTGAGACCTGACAATTATGGTTGTAGGACTGACTGTATAAACTGTCTGAATGAATACCTACCTTCTTTAGGCCTTCACTACATGCTTCATCTTATTGTTATTAAAGTATTACTCTTGAAGTAGTTCTTATTTTAGTATCTACTCTATACATCCCTGTCCTTCTGTAGGACTGCGAAGGGCTGCTATGCCCTGGCTGAGACTTTCCGTGTGCTGATGTCTGCAAAGGAACATTCTGTAGTTTTTCTAAGAACAAAACATCCTGTTGAAGGATGATGCCGGAGGAAGGGAACTCACACTTGACATCCCATTGCCCCCCAGTTGAGTTCCTGTTTTTCCTTGAGTTTGTGTTTTTCTTTCCCAGGCTTGGTGTATATATTGAACCTGCCCAGTAAAAGCTTTGGCATTCTCTCATAATGGATGACCCGAGTTTGAGTCTTTCTTTAATCCCCCAGGCCTACACCCGAGCTTGGTACCGCGGGCAGCGCTGCCGGAGCTATCATCCTTATATGCATGATCTACTCCAGCAAAATCAGGATTAAAATGTTGATGGTGATGTACATACTACATATCTTTTAACTTTAACCCTAGTCCTGACTTTCACAAGAGAACTGGCTTAAGGGAAAAAAGGCCACCAGAGTTTGGTGGTATTAGCCACTTTATAGTTATAGTGGTTTGAATAAAAGTGGCCCCCCCAAGGCTTATAAAGGCTTGGCACTATTTAGGGGGTATAGCCTTTTTGAGGTAGGTGTGGCCTTGTTAGAGTAAATGCATCACTGAGGGTGAGCTTGGAGGTTTCAAATGCTCAAGCCAGGACCAGTGTCACTCTCTTGCTTCCTGCTGTCTTCCCATCTGGGTTTAGAAATCTGGGCTCCTGTGCCAGCACCATGTCTGCCTGTGCACGCTAATGCTTCCTGCCATGATGACAAAAGACTAAACCTCAACTGTAGGCCAGCCCCAATTAAATGTTTTCCTTTATAAGAGTTGCTGTGGTCATGCTGTCTCTTCACAGCAACAGAAACCCTAAGACAATGGCTGTTAATAAGAAAGAAAAGAAAACATTCATCCCACTTGACCTATTTGAAAGCAGAAAGGAAAACAGCATACTAAGTATTGTAAAAAGGGTTTCTAAATATAAGGTAAAAAATGCAAAACAGAAGTGCCAGATATTCATTAACTTTCCAAATATGTTCAACTCAAAATACAAAAGTGTTAACACACAAAATTAAAGAAATGAGAAATAGGGGAAAAAAAAGACTGAGGACTAGGGAAATCAGAGAAATAGGAAAACAGATTCCCTAGTATTTCTCTTTCATGATTATCCTCTGCCTTAAAATCTCCCAACACTTAGTGGCTTAGGACTGTTTATTCCTTTCAGGGTTCTGGGGGCTTAGCTGGAGCTTATTGCTTTAGTTTTTCACAGAACTAAAGATAGTCCGATTGCAGGCAGCTGTGGTTGGAGTCATCTGATAATTGACATCTTCAATGGCCTCTTTAAGGGAAAGTATAAATAAGAACCATTGAAGAATTAGAGGTGGGGAGTGTAGAGCACTACAATGGGTTTAAAAGGAAAGGACATGGTTTGCATAAATTTTCTTTTTTATTGATGGTGGTGGTGTTGCATGCGCCACAATGCATGTTGAGATTAGAGGACAGACTCAGGTATCTGTCTTCCATCTTCTACCTTATTTGAGGCAGTTTCTTGTTATTTGGCACTGTGTACATCAGGATAGCTGATCCACAAGCTTTTGGGATTCTTTTCTCTCTGCCTCCTACCTCTTCTGAGAAGCACTAGGCTTACAGATGTACTTGACATGAAATAAGGATCAAATTCAATTCCTCATGGCTGCAAGACAAATGCTTTACCCACTACCATTTCTTTAGTCTTTGGTCCCTCAATTATTTTGTAAAGAAATTGAACAAGGTAAGGCTTAGAAGAGTAAGTAGGTACTTTAGAACTCAGTTCTTTTGTTTTGGATGGGGAAAACATGGAATATGTCAGTACACAAAGAAAAGATGCAGAGCTGAAAAGAAATTCTGACAATGATAAGAGTTTAAATTCAGCATCTGTATCTATATCTCAAAGCAGTCTTTGGACCCTTATACAATAAACTGGACAATGACTTTATATGTAAAACTTTCACTCCTGTTAACAGGTAAATATTGGCAGACCAACAGATGGTTAGACTTTTGTAGTTGCTTAGTGATACAACAACCCTGGCAGTACCAGTGAGAGACTTAAGAGTCAGACAGACTACCTGGTATACAGAAAGACAAGGAAGAGAAATCATGGCTAGGTCATAAAGCTAGAACATTTCCAAGATGGTTGGCTTCCTCACCTTCCTGACTTAAGACAAAAGCCTGGCAGCATAAAATAAAGACTCTGTAGCCATTTGTTTCCCACAGGCCCCCTGCTGTTTCAACAAGTTCAAGGCTGGATCAGGACAGGTTACATAACAGTTGTCAGCCAGTCAACCATCCAATCTTTATTCAAACTGTTGAAACTTAAATTAGGAGAAGAAAACCCTTCAGTGATGTTAAACACCCCAGTTCTGGAGAAGAGACTGGATTTTCCAGTTTGGTGGTGGTGGGGGGTCTTTCTCTCTGTGTGGTGCTGCATAATATGTTTCCTCACCCTTAGTACACACTGTTCTTCAGCTGCTGATTTCATCTGCTCCTTTGCCCTGTGTGAGATTTCTCAGCAGCTACCTGTTGTGCTTCAGATTTTTAACTGGCAGAGGAAACAAACCTGACTGAGACCCTAGGCTATTATCAGTAGGACTTTGGTTAGTCTTTATGGGCTTCTCACTCAATGTTGATAATACTTCTTTAGGAGTATTACTAGTAATGCTTTCTTTAAAATAGAAAGTTTAGGCTTACATAAAACACCATGTCTAAGAACACAAAATGTATAGGAACACACTTGAAATGCATGCTTTTAAGAGCATTCTAAAATCTCCATTTCAACATCAACCAAAAGCTTAGAATGCAGTTTTACAGCTGGGCAGTGATGGCACACACCTTTAAATCTAGCACTCAGGAGACAGAGACAGAGTTTGACAGAAGCCTGGCTTACAGAGGCGGTTCCAGGACAGCCAGGGCTACCCAAAGAAACCTTGTCTCAAAAAATAGAATAAACAAATAAATAAAAACAACAACAACAAAGAAAAAGCAGATTCACTTACAAGATCTTCTCATAAGGTTCTGCTCAAATGGTGCCACAGTAAACTGACGTCACCATTGAGACAGAGTCTCACAATGTAGCCTTGGCTAGCTTTGAATTCAAGGAGGTTTGTGTCTATTGCCTTATTATAATTGTCAGGTTTAAAGGAAACTCCAATTCCCCACACAAGCATCCTAGCCATTCTCACTTCCTCCTCAACCCTAAACTCTATTCTCTTTGGCTAGTCTCCCTTTTATCAGATAGCCCTGGCCATAGCCACTCTGCTGGCCATCTCATCTGGCCATGTTCAGTCCCAGTCTCTCTCTCTCTCTCTCTCTCTCTCTCTCTCTCTCTCTCTCTCTCTCTGCTTTAGACTCTTTCAGATGCCTCGGAATATTTTCTCTCTTGCACACCAAAAATACTAAACTCTTCCTCTTATTCATACTGTAGAGAGGTCATGTCAGCAGTTTCTTTACTGCACCTCTCTTTCATACGTCTGTGACAAAACTCTCATATACATCCTGGGGTTCTGCACTAGATACATATGAGGGGGTACAGTAAAGAAACTGCTGACATTACTCTACAATACAGTTAAGGTTTTCATTATAGATATGAGAGAGAGAATAGCCAGAGGCATCTGGAAGAATTCACTATATTTAGCAGGCTGGCTTTTAGTTGGAAATCCTTTATTCAACCTTTCACAAGAGTGAGCTGTCACATCCTGTGCCTTAAGCATGATTCCAAATTAATCCACACAATCTCTCTGCACTGTTCCTTCATCACTAACTACTATGCAAAACACATATGCTATGTATGTATTCATGGAAGTGACTTCAAAACAGACTATATTGAAAAAATAAAGATCAGTTATAAAAATCAGTTTAAAAACTTAATAGCTCAAGAATTAGGCTTAACAACAAATCCTTATTATAAAGTAATAACTTTATTAAGCTATTTATAAAATAAATTAAGGCTGGGCTGTGTTCTACCTCATCTGGGTTTTATTTCATTAGAGCATCCAATCACTAACGTCTAGATACAGAGTTTACTATAGAAGCTATGCAAAAGCACTGTATTATTCAGGGTTCTCTAGTCATAGAACTTATTAAATTATTCCCTCCCCCACATTTTATATAATGTATATGTTTTGAAATGATGTACAGGCTAAACCAACAATGGCTATCTGTGAAGGGAAAATCCAAGAATCTAGCAGTTGCTCAGTACCACAAGGCTGGATGTTTCAGCTGGTCTTTTGTATATGCTGGAATCCTGAAGAAGTAGGCTCCAGTGCCAGTAAAGAAATGGATATGCTGTAGTGGAACTAGAGCTGTTTTGGAGAATATGGCAGACATATACCTACACTTTCTAGGTTTTCTTTCTTTTTGTGTGCATTATCTAGTGCTGCTGCTTCTGCATACTTTGTTTTCTCTTTAAATCCTCTAGCTACTTATATAAACCAAAAACTATTACTATCTCTATTTTATAGATGGAGAGATGAGTGAGCAAGTGGGAAGCTGGTATGTGAACTCAAATAGTCTGACTCTGGAGGCCTTGCCCTCATTCACTACAATACTAGTCGTTTTGAGGATGTATTGTTGACACCTAAATGATGAGAAGGTAAATCATTGGTAGGAGAAATTATATAAAGCCCTTCTCAAGTGAAAAAGGAGTTTTTTGGTTCTAAAAAAATTACAGGTGGCCAATAGTTTCCAGAAGACAAGAGACGAAGAAAGGAAGTAAAAAATTGTGTCAAGAGCCATTTACTTCAAATCTGGCAGTTCCACTTTTAGAATATATTTCTAGCTCATAAGTGACATAAGTTGAAAGAAGGTTATTTGTTGGAACATTTGTGGAGTAATTATTGTTGAAGGCACTATTTTAAACACAGGACAGTCCATGGTTAGACATGAGGTTTTTTTTTTTTTTTTAAAGATTTATTTTATGTAAATGAGTGTTCTATCTGTATGTACCCCTGCATGCCAGAAGAGGGCATCAAATCCCAGGATAGATAGCTGTAAGCAGTCATGTGGTTGCTGGGAATTGAACTCAAACCCTCTGGAAGAGCAGACAGTTCTCTTAACAGCTGAGCCATCTCTCTACCCTTTAGACATGAGTTTTAATATTAAGTTGCATCTTCAGCTCAGTGACATGGCAAAAACCAAATATGGCCCATCACTCTGGAGTGATTGCTAGAATGTTGATCAGGTCTTGGTCTCTGTCTGTCTGTCTGTCTGTCTGTCTGTCTGTCTCTCTTTGGCATACACACTAAAAATTTCTCCTTCCCTGTTAGGCACTTAGCATAACATGCAAATTCCAGTACTCTTATCTTTAAAAACACATCAAACAAAAAATTCCCATCCCTTGACTTCTTATTCTCCCCTAGCTACCACTGTATTCTTTTAGTTTTTATCCAGGAAAACAAGCTCGACAATACTCTTTTGGTACCATTACCTCCAGTCATCATGAACCTAGTCATGTTCCTCTTTAGTCCTACTCAGACTGCCCTGGCCCATGTCACCACATTATCATTAAAAACATAGGGAAAGACACTATAATAGGATGATTAGCTACACAGGATGCAAAACAGAAACCTGGATTATTGTATTTGCTGATAAGGGTATCAGTGCTTGCTGTCTTTATTCATACCCACATTGCTTACTATAACTTTTTCTGTGTGTTCCAGATACCTTGTCACATTATGAGGTCTTTGCAATATTCAGATCTTATAGAGCACCTCACTCATGCTCTTAACAGGTAAGGTGTTATATCAAGATAGCAATGTCTGTGTGTAAGTGCACACTCAAAATTCCATGTAGCTGCAGAAGACTCGAGGGATGTGTAATATCACAAAAAAATGTTAATGGGAATAAGCACGGGTCAGACTAAACCCATCTTTAGGAATACACAACTAATGGACAGTGGTTGTGTAGTTTAGATTACTGCTAGCCTTCCCAGATCCTTCCCGACAGCCTTAGAAAGAAGAAAGGCTGAATCAGCATGACACCTATCTACCATCATGTGCGAAATCCACATTCATCTGCAGAGACCAACTTTTCCATGGGCCCTAACTCGTCCTTGACTTACTCAAATGGACGTTCAGAGAAAAGCACTGACATCCATCTACACGAGGAAGTAAGGAAACAGAAATGCACCGGTGTGACTGCAGGAAGAACAGCATGGGGCATCAAGATGCGCAGAAGCCGCGCCTTTAACCCTTGCGGGGCACACCAAAGCTTAGAGAACTTGCACCGATAGTGTTGTCGCCTAGCCCGGGACAGACAAGGAGGTCCGCGGAGGGTCCATCTGCAAGTGACAGGGAAGGGTCACCTCCCGGCCGCCGCCATGTAGAACTCCCGGGGCACAAGGCTCCTAGCTGTGGACCCTTGCGCTCCGGAGCGCTCACGAGCTGCACCGCAACCTAGGGTCGTAGGAGCCTGGCCTCCAACAGCCGGATCCAAGCCCACTCCTCCCTCGGACCCCACAGCTCACCCACCTGCGACTGCAGTCAGTGAAGTCTCCACCCAGGCCCAGCCTGCAAACTCCGGCTGCGATTGGCTTTTGCAACTGTCCCGTTAACTCTTCCTCCAGTGTGAGCGGCTTAACGGTTCTGAGACACTCTGGTCCCGCCCTTTCCGAGGCTAACGAGCTACGAGCACAGACGTCAGACGGTGCCGCAGAGCTCTGCGCTGTTTTTGAATCTCCTCCCCAAATGGCCCTGTCCGCTTCCGTAGGAGACCTCGGGTTTGGGGGCGGAGCACCGTAGGCCACGCCCCCACGCGCAACCGTGAACTAAAGGTGGGGGTTGGAGGCCTGTGAAACGTCTCAGCCCAGCGTCCACCTACTTCGCACAGAAGCCTGAAGAGGGGCGGAGCCTGGCGACGTCCGCTGCGAGGCGCTGCTCCATTGCGCAGACTCTGGGACAAAGGGGGCGTGGTTACGTCAGCGTCTACTCTACCTGCCCTGAGGATCCTCTGTCCAAGTGGGTTGTATGGTGTTCCCCGCCAAGAGGCTGTGCGTGGTGCCATCCATGGAGGGCGTTCGCTGGGCCTTCTCCTGCGGCACCTGGCTGCCAAGTCGAGCCGAATGGCTTCTGGCGGTGCGGTGTATCCAGCCCGAGGAGAAGGAGCGCATCGGCCAGTTCGTGTTTGCCCGCGACGCCAAGGCGGCCATGGTACTTGAGGCCTGCGGCTTTTGGGAGGCGGGCCGGGCTGAGGAACCCCACGTGCGCTCGCGGCACTGCCTGCTCAGAGCCGCCGGCGGGATGGGGTCTCCGAAGTCCCTGCGACCGTCTTCGTCCTTCGTACCTTCGGAGGCCTGGGACACTCACAACTAGTCTTCCCTTGTGAGGTTGCCAGTGGAGACCCTTACCTTAAAATTGGAGGCTCGGCCTATGGAGTAATCGTTTGTTTACATATATATATCTCAAACATACGTATGTATGTTTTGAAACTTAAAAGCTTAGAAGTAATACATATACTTCACAAGCACTGTACTTAATGCGATTAGTAGATAGCAATACATACCCATACCGTGTGTTTTATGTCTGAACAGGCTGGTCGTCTGATGATAAGGAAATTAGTTGCAGAGAAATTGAATATCCCCTGGGATCATATCCGTCTTCAGAGAACTTCAAAGGGCAAGCCTGTTCTTGCAAAAGACTCGTTGAATCCCTATCCCAATTTCAACTTTAACATCTCTCATCAAGGGGACTATGCCGTTCTTGCTGCAGAACCTGAGCTACAAGTTGGCATTGATATCATGAAGACTAGTTTTCCAGGTGATGGTTTATTTTTATGACATATTAAGTGTTTTATGTCTCAAATCTTAACTATTAGACAGTTGTAAACCAGGAGACTTACTATATAAATACAGGTACTGGTAATAATTAATTTACTAACAAAAGCATTTAACCAAAAATAATGTATTTCTTTTAACATTAGCACTTATAGATATAGTAGATTCTACATTACTGTATCTAAGTATTTTTGTTTCTTCTTGCTATTCCAAAATAAATGAGGCTGAATTACAAAGTTGAGTTTTAGGCTCATTGTTCTGGGTTCAGGGAAATCCTTGAGAACTGGGATAATAAATTTATTCATGAAGGTGGTAACCCTATGGCCTTGCAGTACTCTTGTATTGGCAATTTAATTTCAACATGACTTTTGAAGGTAAGAAACCTTTTTGAAACCCAGCTCCAATGAAAGGACGTGATACTGTAGAAGACTTGTTCTAAAGTGACTGCTGCTGCAGAGGAGTCAGGACAATTTTTAGGAGTAGTCCACATGGGTTTGTAGCTCTGGGGAAGCTTCATATGATCTTTCCCTGTAACTAGAAGTTAGTGGTGAGGCTGTTAGATAGTCAGAAAAAAGGTAGCATAGTTAGAGCCTGCCTGGAAATGAACAGATCTTACAACCTATTTTGTGCAGTGGTGACTATAGTCAATACTGAGTAAGCAAGTCATTATTAATTGAGGTTTCTTAACAGTGGGAAAGTATTGATCAGATATTGAAGATTCTGTTTCCTGTTTATATATTCTTAATCCTTTGACACCCATCAATTTTGAATAAAGCTTTTCCCTTCCCTTTTGTAGTTTAACTGGCCCAAAGCTTATTATATGCCCAGTAACACAGAGGAGGAAATCCATTCAGTTGGGACTAGTGTTGTGTCATTACCATTTTCAAATTGTGATTGGGTGCTTCCTTCCTTAGTGACTATGCGAAGTAAACACTTGTTTGCTTCACTGGTGATTTATTAGACTGAGATAGTTGGTCAAGGGGTATTCTTCAGTCTTACTGAATGATGAAGGTATAATTTTGGATAGAAGGGGGAACCTACTGTGTACTATGCATTGACAACTCCTGAGATAGAGACAGCATAGAGAGGTGTTGTGATGGTTTGTATATGCTTGGCCCAGGGAGTGGCACTATTAGAAGGTGTGGCCCTGTTGGAATAGGTGTGTCACTGTGGGCATGGACTCTAAGACCCTACAGATGGAATTTTTGGGGTCGATTAAGTATACTATCATATCATCTACAAATAGTGATATTTTGACTTTTTCCTTTCCAATTTGTATCCCTTTGACCTCCTTTTGTTGTCTAATTGCTCTGGCTAGGACTTGGAGTACTATATTGAGTAGATAGGGAGAGAGTGGGCAGCCTTGTCTAGTCCCTGATTTTAGTGGGATTGCTTCACGTTCTCTCCATTCAGTTTGATGTTGGCTACTGGTTTGCTGTATATTGCTTTTACTGCTACCAGAGAACTCCTATAGCTGATAAACAACTTCAGCAAAGTGGCTGTATATAAAATTAACTCAAACAAATCAGTAGCCTTTCTGTAACTCAAACAAATCAGTAGCTTACTCAAAGGATAAACAGGTTAAGAGAGACATTAGAGAAACAACACCCTTCACAGTAGTCATAAATAATATTAAATACTTTGATATGACTCTAACCAAGCAAGTGAAAGACCTGTATGACAAAAGGTCTCTGAAGAAAGAAATTAAAGCTCTCAGAAGATGGAAAGATCTCCCATGCTCATGGATTGGCAGTATTAACAAAGTAAAAATGCCATTTTGCTGATCATCTTCTTTTCTACTTTCTATCTCAAGCATGTTACCATTCCTTATTTCTTTCTAGTTTTCAATGATCGTTGTTTTCTGTTCATTCTAGTCTTTTATTGCCTTTAATTAGATGTTGCTCAACTCTTCCTTACCTCCATCTTCCCCTTGATAAGTTTCATATTCTTTGAGAAGAATGGATAATTTCACTGCTTTGGTTTTAGTTTATGTATGCTGTGGTGCTGATAATATGTATGGAGGCCAAAGGACAACCCACAGCAGATGTCATCCTCAGAAATGCCATCTACCCCTTGAAACAGGATCTTTTCACCCTGTAGCTTACTGATTAAGCTAGACTAGCTAGGTAGTGTGAGCCTTAGGGTTCACTTATTTCCTCTTTCCAGCACTGGAATTACCAGGCTGTACACTAAAATTACTAGGCTGTCACTGGAATTACTGGGCTGTACACTGGAATTACTGGGCTGTCACTGGCTGGTATTTTTACATAAGTTCTAACGATTAGGTCTCCGTGTTTGCACTGCACTATTTGAGCTTTCCTTACAGCTGAATAGTTTAACTGAGGTGCTATTAAACTACACGTGTACTGGAGACCTTAGAATGAGGTAGATGGGCTTTAAAGTTCATAGGCCTAGAATAGTAGCTAAAGGTATCAGTTGTGGGTAATTTTGTTATGGGTTTTTATTATGTTTAAAATGAACCAGTTGTGTGATTTTGATTGTATAGAATATTTAGTTAGTAGCTGACATTCTTCTTTAATAACTAAGCTCTAAGAAGGATAAAATTTTTCAAAACTTAAGTGACAGTTCATTTTTCAGTCCTATACCTTTTTAATATGTATACACCTATGTTCTTAATATTTTATGGGATGATTAAATAGAGTATAGTAGACATTAATATATATGAATAATATTAAGAATTTGCCTATGTGTATGCCCAGTAATTATGCTGATATTTTGAGAGACAAATTTCTTTTTCTACTGGGATTTTCTAATAGTTTTTCTTCTAATTTCATATGTAAACTGGAATAAAATAGAATATTTAGCCAGTGTGCATTTCTCCCACAACACCACAGGGTGGTGCTGCTGTGCTTTAGTCGAGTCTTTAGAGACTCACCATTGCTTGCTGTTTATTTTGTGCTTAAATATATAGGAAAGTGTACACTGATATTTTTTTCAGCCATAAGTAATGAGTTATACTATTCCTTGATTGCCAATATCCCAAATACAAGTAAAGATATTCCTCCTCTTCATTTCATATATGCTTGTTATTATCAGAGTCTACTCAAGAAGAGTTTATCATTTAAATTTTGTGGATGTGGGTTGTGTAGGTTTATAAATTTGGATGCCATAAGCTGTCATCAGTTTCCTCTTGTCACTCTTACCTTTCTTAATGTTTGTGACATAATCTCTTAGTGAACCAGCGTGCCCTGGGGATCAGCTTTACCTCTCAACCCTGCCCTGACAAATGCCCTTTCTGACAGTATTGAGCTATGGACACTGGCAGCTTCTATCCCTTTTACAGGTTCTGAGGAATCCAAGATCAGATCCCATGCTTGCTTAGCAAACGACTGTTGAGCCATTTCCTCAGCCCCGTCACTTTTTTTAAGACTAGATGCCAGAAACAATAAATGAATCAGTTAATTATTGAGAGGCATTCAGTAATTCTCAGTACAGTGAAAATGAGCTTTGGATCACTGAAAGGATCCATAGTAATAGCCTCTTGTTATAGGATTCCCAAGATCGTTCAGTCGTAGCTACGATCTTGAGTACTACAGATTTCTGGGTTAAAGAAATAGGACCTGTTTTGAAGAATTGACTATTGAAGTGGGAACTTGGGAGAGTCATAAACATTTTTGCACAAGAACTAATTTATATTGTTTCCTTCTCTGACTTACTTTATGAGAGGTATGTGCTCACTGCAAAAGTCCTAAATAGTACAAAAGAATACAGTCTGTTGTGTTCCAGATTCCTGCTTCTACCACTTGACTGTCTATATGTGTATATTGATTTTGTTTTCCCAGTAGGAATTTCAAGTAAGCAGTATACATTCCTTAACTGCCTTCTAGTTATAAAATATTATAAAACAGTTTTCTTTTTCCCCCTCAGT